ATGCTATATTATAAACTAATAAAATTGTTTTTTTAAAAAAGATGATGCTGTAGGTTATTCACCACTGGTATATAAAAACCTACATCCTATTTTAGGTTAAACTAACTGCCTATCTAGCCCAGTGTTATTCACCCTGATAGCAATGTTTCTTTTACAGTTATAAAGGAGATTCTCATACAGGTAATCCTTGTCTTACAACATTTCATTTAGTGACCATTAAAAGTTACCACGGCACTGAATAAAATGACCTATGGCCATTTTCCACAGTTACAACCTTTGTAGCATCCTCATGATCATGTGTTCAAAATTCAGATGCTTAGCAACTCGTTTAAAGCTCTGACCACTGCTGTGTCTCAAAGTCACGTGATCCCTTTTTGCAACCTTTTGACAAGCAAAGTCAATAGGGAAGCCAGATTCACTTAACAACTGGGTTACTAACTTATCAGCTGCAATGATTCACTTAAGAATTGTGGTAAGAAAGGTACTAAAATGAGGCAAAATTCACTTAACATAAATTTTGGGCTCAATTGTGGTTAGAAGTTGAGGACTTCCTATATTCAATATGTCAAATGATTATCTGATCCCTTTGTCAGGGGCCTAACTAAATGGAAAAATAAGAGCCAAACAATAATTTATCACCCAGTATCTATTTGGAAACGAAGTTGGTTAATGTAAATCAAATGGTTTGATCGAATGGTTTATAATTAACATGTTTGGACAGCTAAACAAACAAGAGAAGCTGAAATAAACATGAAGATAAATGACTTGCACAGAGAACATCATTTTTCTGAACCGTTGACTCAGCTTCCAATGGCAAGAGGAGGGGATTCTTCTCCTGTTTGGTTCTGCAGCTGTGCTGAGATGCTCTTTTATCTTCTTATATGCAACTGTAAAAGATGTTACGAACAGGGGTGGGCTTACAATTTTTTAGCAAAGGATTCTCTGCCCGTTTGTGGGGTGGGCGTGGCTATGGTGGGCATGGCCTAGTCAGCCTCCTGCACCATGGTGGAGGGGAGGCGTTTTTGCCCTCTCTGGGCTCCAGAGGCTTTCTTTGAGCCTCTGGGCGGGCGAAAATGGCCTCCCTGGGCTCCGGAGGCTCTCTGGAAGCCGGAAACGGGCCCATTTCTCGAACTTCTGGGAGGCTCGTTTGTCGTCCTCCCCGAGTGGGGACTCCTGGGAGGGGAGAGTTGAGCAAGGCTAGCCAGGAGTGGGATTTGGGGGTTCTCCGAACTGCAAGGAATCTTAGGAGCTCTCCAGAACCCCTGCAACCCCCAGCCCACCCCTGCTTATGAGATATGCTTAAAACAGATAGAACATGCTCCTACTCATATTCTTAGAAGTTTGGGAGTTTTCCTTAAGTAGAATTAGAGCGCTGTTTCCAGAGGACTTTTCTTATTGTGCAATAGCTAAAACCATAAGGAATGCAATACTGATGTGCAGCAGGAAAAGCTGTCCCTGAACCAGATGCCTGATGCTTTGTGTTCTTCCTTACCGTATTGATTTTATTCCTTGTTTGAAACTTCATTACCCTTTAAAAATAAAGGCATTTATTCTGTAACAAAAACATTGGAATTGTTATTTGTTCTTTGAAGCTCAGAGAGTGGCACTGAGACTGTTAAAACAAGTTTGAACCTCTGAGCTGCAAGGTATTTTTTTTCTTATTTAGAAAAAGGTCAGGGCACACACCCCAACTGGCACACATCTGGGCACACACCCCAACTGGCAGAGCCAGATTGTGTAACAGGATATATAATGTATAAATTATTTTTAAATAACCATAACAAGTTTTCAAAACTTTATTATGTTATTTAAACCATATACTCAAATAGTTTTTGTACTCTATGTACAATGCAATTTCCACACACAATTCAATGGAATATTTTTTTACTTATACTGTACATAATGATAAGAAAAGGCTGGGACTTTTAACTTGCAGCAAAATATACAATTTTTAGGTCTCCTTCAAATTTCCTGATAGACGTATGGCTATATTATTTGGTACTTGCTTTTGGGAATGTGTTTTGTTCAAAACTATCCTGTTATGTTGCTTCAGTTTGATTTGACATATAGAGCTTAATGGACTTTACACCAGTAGTTTAGGTTCATACCACAATGCAGGAATATTAACTGGTTAAATAAATGGAATATTTTCAAATATCAAGGGGATGGGGACCTATTTTTGAACATCCCTCATTAAAATATGCCAGGTCCTGCAGCATTTCTAGCCCATCCATCTTGATTTGCTGGAATGTTTTCCCCCTTGAATCAAACATTCAATGATGTTCAGAAACTCAACACGATTCAGTTGCATATATAAAAGAGACTTCATGGGCTACATAGCTATAACACAGAAACATATCCAGTATCTTCACAGATGTGCACCTATGCAATAAAACAGTGAAGAGGTCATTTATATGACAGTTTTTATAGTGGAGTCTATCACTACTAGATTGGTATGCTAATACTATACTGCTAAAGATAATTGTAACATTTGAATGCTGAAGAAATAAACCTTCATAAGCCTAAATGATAGATGAATTAATCTAATTTAAAAATGTAGCCCAAAGGGGCTAAATATACAAAAAAGAAAAAAAGAAAAGTAACCCCAGGTGTTTCTTTTATAAATACATTGCACTAAAAAAAAAAAGAAATGAATTTCAGTATTTTTATTTTGTAAATTTGTGAACTTTCTATTTCCCCTATTCTATAATTATACTTACAAATGAAATATAACAAGAAAAAACATTTACTAGAAACAGCTCTAGTTTTGTAAAAAAAAAAGCAGCACTAATGAGACTTATCTATGTCCGCTGTACACCCTCTACTGGCTACATGAGGTTTTACAGAATCTTTTCTTAAATTCAAATCTTGTATTTTTTTTAATTAGAACCAGTATTGCTATAATTACTTTTAAAATGCTTTCTTTTGCATTACAGTTTTGTTGCTTGATTTCAGAAGCAGACAATTACAATTTTGTATCTTTTTTTTTTTTTTGACCAAGAACTGTACTGTCAACAGTAACACAGTTATGAAGTGAATCTGTGCTTTGTCAGGTCGCGAAAGGCGATCACATGGCCTCAGGATATTGCAGTCATCATAAATACATTCCAGTTGCCAAGCATCTGAATTTTGAACACATGACCATGGGGATGCTACAATGGGTGTGAGTGTGAAAAAGTCATAAGACACTTTTTAAAATGCCGTTATAATTTTAAACGGCCACTAAACAAATAGTTGTAAGTTGGTTTTTGGCAAACATGGCACTGTGTATTATGGTCATGCATCTCCACTTTGATCTCGTCCGTCAGTGTCCCACAAGTCTTATGATTTGTTCGGATGGAACTTTGCAACCCTAAGCCCTGCTGCCACATTGTTTTTTTGTTTTAAGAGAGAAGGCAGCTTTTTCCTGGCAACTGTTCAAAACAAACCATACCTGGTTCAGTCTTTTTCTAATTGTGCTGTCATGGATTTGAACATTTAACATGCTAACCAGAGTGTGAGGCGTAAATCTGGGATTATTTATTTTGCCATTTCTCTGAGCATGGCACAGTGTAACCTTGGGGTGAATTTGCTGGGACGTCCATTCCTGGGAAGATTGGCAACTGTCTTGAAGGTTTTCCACCTATGAATAAATCTTCCGCACTTTTCTGAATGATTTTATTTATTTATTTAATTTATTTATTTGATTTGCCAATTGTTTACAAGATAATAAGTATAAGTGTATACATAGTTGTGAATACATGAAATGGGTACATATAAGAAAAATAAGAGAAGAATAAGAGAAACAATAGGACAGGGACGGTAGGCACGTTGGTGCGCTTATGCACGCCCCCTACAGACCTCTTAGGAAAGGGGTGAGGTCAATAGTAGACAGTCTAAGGTTAAAGTTTTTGGGGTTTGGGGAAGAAACTACAGAGTCGGGATGACTTTCAATTCTTGGGAAATGGCCTTATAACCCTTTGCAGATTGATGGGCAGCAACAATGGCTTCTCTAAGATCACTCTTGATAATTTCCCCCTTTGACATTGTGTTAACACACACCTCAATGCCAGAGACCAGTAAACTCCCTCCCCAAATTGGCTTTTATAGTGAAAGGATTAGAGCATATAGACTTAAAGAGTGCACCTAATGCAACTTTTGATATATTTCTTGCTACTGAGCTGAGCTCCATTGTAACCTCGTGGCTCTATCTGCAAAGATAAAGCCTCCAGGCTAACTGCTAAGTAGCCTAGCTAAAGTAACTTGTGAAATGAAAAATGTGGATTCTGCCTGTTTGCTGCAACATAATGTGAGATAGCAACCCCAACAAAGCTCTGGGCTATAGGCCAGAAAATATATTCCTTTCCCCTTTCTGAGGTCCTTTTGTTTCAGACTGTGAAAATAATGAGCTTTTGCATGAACGAATGGATATGAAATTATGTTTCTAACACTGATGATCTTGTGCAAGTGGTGTAAACTATAAAAAGTTCAAGAAAAAGTCCTGTCTCCCACGCACCTGCTTTTTCTCTTTGCCTTGCTGTTTAAAGTGGGAGGTGAAAGGTCGCCCAGTTTTGTTTTGATCAGATTAAAAACTGATCATCAGATTGCCTCGTGTTCAGAGTTTCGTTGATCAGATTCTGAGGTGCACCCCAAAAAAACCTAACACTAGAAAGAGTCACAAATGGCCAGCCGGCTGTCAAGATTCACTGCTCTGGAGGAAGCCTGGAAATACCGTTAAATAATAATATTAGAATAAGAATTAGAACAGAATGGAATTCTTTATTGGCCTTTATTTATCCTTATGATTGATTTATCCTTTATTGGCTTTTATTTTATCCTTTAAAGCCGGGGTCTCCAACCCTGGCAACTTTTAAGACTTGTGGACTTCAACTCCCAGAATTCCTCAGCCAGCAAAGCTGTAGACTTGAACTCCACAAGTCTTAAAGTTGCCAAGGTTGGAGACCCCTGCTTTAAAAAGTTCCGTTAAAACACACACACACACACCAAGTTGCGCACACCTCCCCACGCGGCTCTTCCCGCGGTTAACTGTCACGACGTTTCCGGTTTTCCCGCCCACCCCTCCCGTGGGACGTTACGTAGCACGTTCCGACAATGACGTCTGACGCCGATTCTACGGCACGCCACTTGTGACCAAGATCATCACAAGCGGAGGAAGACGGCTTCCCCCCCTCTGGTAAGCAAAGGCCGACGGTTGGCGGTTACCGCGCGTTGCAGGAAGGCCTCCGCCTGCGACTGTTATAGGAGTCAATCTGTGGGTCTGATGGTTTTCTCAGACTTTCACCGGACCTTTTTCGTTTCCGTAGGGCTTTTTGGGCCTTTCTGCTGCCGTCGTTTTTCCCTCCTCCTCCTCCTTCCTCCTTTAAAAAAAAATACAAGTTTTTGGCCAATCAATACCCGGTGCTGACACCCGAGGTTGATGAACCAATTTCTGAGTGGTTGGGCGAGGAGGGCGGGAATATAAATGCATATGGCGATTGGCTAAGGCGGCAATATTTTAAGGGTGGGGGGGGGGGAAAGAGTTCATCTCTCGAGTGCGCATGCGAGGTAATCATTACGGCTTCTGTCAGTCGTAGTGCGCAGGTTTTAGGTGCGACGGCTGTTACTCAGAAGTGCCGAAGGGAACCCCCCACCCCCCCGAGAAGCTTTTTGGAGAGTTTTTAAATTGTACTTCACTGAGACCTGACGCTGCTTTGCGCGACAAAGTTTGTTGTGCCCAGGCGGCTTTGTCCGTTAGGTCTGCAGAAATCCGGATCGCAAAAACCGAGGCGACCCATGAAATAGCAGCAAAAAGCTCAGAAAACCCTAATTCTGCGCTTCTGTCTAGCAAATTATATTTGGAAATATGTACTAGGCACAAATCTAGGCCGTTTGAGTTACCTTACCTCAGGGGTGTCCAAATTTGACAATTTTAAGGCTTGTGGACTTCAACTCCCAGAATGCCTCAGCCAGCCGTGAGGAATTCCGGGAGTTGAAGTCCACGAGCCTTAAAAGGCCAAGTTTAGAGACCCCGTTCTAGAGAATAGTTAAAAATGAAGAGCTTAGAGCAGTATTTCTCCTCCTTAGCAACTTTAAGATGTCTTAAGATCTTGGCAGTTTTAAGATTTGGGGAGGTGACGTCCACACACCTGAAATTTGCCAACGTGGTTTAGAGTATGATCTCTCAATACGCACTCCTGCTAGAATCAGGGTTCTCCAACCTTGGCAACTTTAAGACTTGTGGACTTCAACTCCCAGAGTTCCTCACCCTGTGATACATGGTTGTCATTCTGTCAAGATTTCTGCCAAAGTTCTGTCTGACGAGTGGATCCAACAAGAGAAGTGGAGCCAGATGAAGGATGTGGTGTACTTCTCAACTGAATTAAAAAGTGTGCGGCCTTATGGAACATTTCTCTTGTAATAAAAAGACCCTTTTTCAATATTTTTAAAGCATGCTCAGGCATGCTCCTTTGACACTAAAAATTTGTGGCAACATTTGGATGAGCCTTGCAGAAGTTTGGATGGCTTCCGATTGGGGTTCAGTATTATAATGCTAAACAAAATGCAGGCACTCTGAAACCTTGTGAAATCTTAATAAATTAAAAGATCAAGGAAAGATACAGTATTGGTGTCCTATATACAATTGTGTTTATGTTAAGGGTTCTCTTCAAAATAGCCCATAGCAATGCTGGTACAGAATATCCCCAGGCTTTTGAAGCAGCAAGGTGTTCTATATTTCCTGGGATGAGTATATTCTGCTTAGCAACTTCCTTCAACTTGGATTGTATATAGTGGGCTTCAACTTCTGTAATCCCTTTGCCAGAAAACCTTTTTATTTGACTATCATTGCACTGTTATTTTAATGTTTTCAGATTGGGGTAGGCTGAAACAGAACAACCACAGCAATTCCGTACCTGGAATAAAAGGTCAATCTGTTTAGATTCTTTCATGTTACCAAAGCTTTCTGGAACAGGAGAAATCTGTGGATGTTCTTCAATGAGTTTTTCACAATTCCTGTTAAGAATATGATAGCAATAGTAATAGATGATGATCTATGAGATTGATGGTATTAATATTCAACATCCAAATAATGAGATGTCACCAATAGTGACTAGGTATTGTAATATTAAGGAAAAAGTCTGAAGCCTGATAGCTGCCTGAATATATCCATGTGGTTTTCTTGGGAACAGAATATAAATACTTTGTGATTTATATCATGCAGCCTGATTTTTGACTTTCCAGTATGAGTCAGGATTTTAAAAAAAATGTTTGGGAAGAGCTAAGAGTTTGATGTCGATTTACATCTTGAATAAAAAGGGATGTAGTTTTGCTCAGAAGAACATTTATTATACAATGTATCATTCAGTTTATCTAGCTCCCTCATGTATGTTGCTTGTATAGTGGTAAAGATTTGCCTTAAGGTTTGTGCAGTGCTCAATTTTTCTGGGAAAACTAATTCTTTGGAGTACACAGGGATGCTTACATAATACCTAATGAAAACTTCTTTTAGCAAATTGGGGTTCTATGGCTGCAACAAATTATTCTGGGCTTAAGAATTTGCTGACAGGTATTGTGTGTGTATTTCAAAGCACTTTTTTTTCTTTGAATCCAAAACACTACATAATCCCAATCTGTGTACTTTAAAAAAATAGAAAATAGCCATAGATACTTTTATTTATTGGCCTGGATGTTGTGATAGAACTATCTAACATGCTGCATGTTTTTTTATGCGCTCCAATTGAAGGCAGGAAGGGGCAGGAAGATCTTGCTGCAGTGACTCATGCTTAGACTACTGCAATGTGCTCTGAATGCAGCTGCCTTTGAAGCTGCAATTGGCTCAGAATGCAGTGGCCCTTGTGCTGATTGAGGTTTGCTGGTAGCAGCACGTTAGTCCGGTGCTACAGGCCTTGCACTGGTTGCCAGCAAGCTTCCTGGTGAAGCGTAAAGTGCTGGAACTAACTCCCAAAGTGCTACATGGTTTGGCACCTAGTTATGTACAGGATGTCATCCTCTCATTGGAATTGGCCTGACCAGTTTGGGAGAAACTATCAGCAATGCCAACCTTCATGGAGGTGAGGGTGACCGAGACTAAACAATGCTGCTTTTAAGTTGCTGTGCCTATTATTTGGAATGATGGTTATACAAAGATAACCTTAGTGAAGGAGTGCAAGAATTGTTAAGAGCAACTAAATGGCAACTTACCCTAGGAAAGGAGAAAGTGTGAGAAATTCAAAACAACTCTGCTAGGATACTGCTTAGTATACTAGGAGGTAGAAGGATATTCTGGCAAGTTTTTGAGAGTCTGTTGTTACACTCCACATAAGTAAAATGACATTATTGAAATCCTTGCTCTTCTCTTTCCTCACCCGGCCTACCTCAAAGAATTGACAGCAGCTTAAAACAGAATTGTGCAGAGAGGGCATTTGGGCCTCGATTCCATCTTGGCTTGTTTATAGTTTGGTTTGGTTAAGTTTATTTTACTCTGTATCGATTACTTTGTAGATTTCTTCTTTGAATACTTTATTGTATAATTTTTAATGTATCTTGCCTACAAACTGCTTAAATTTGTAGAAATTTGGCATTCTGTAAAAATAATAATAATGGTTGTGGTTTCAAGTAGCCATATAGTTTAAGTAACAAACAATATTGAGCTTTTAGTGCAAGATTGAAGCATTTTTCTTATTTTAAACCAGTTGCAAATGTAATTACAGTCTTCTACTTTAACTTGGGTATATTTTATGCATGGTCAAATCTTAATGATACACATTGCACAAGGATAAACATAATGAAAGTTTTTTGAGCTGCCTTATGAAACAAATTAGGTTCCCCAATCTGGGCATAAGCCAATGTGGGGATTTTAATACCCAGAATTCCTCAGCCAGCATAGCTTTTGGTGACAGGTCAGAATCAAAGCTGGTATTCTTATAGGTCATTTACATTTAAAAAAAGACTGATACATAATTTTTAAAACATACATATTTTGCTTGACAAAGTGGGTGATGTTTAACTCACTTTAAGGATGTCTTTGAACAGATACAATGCTTTTTAGAACATTTAAAAAAAAATTACATGGGGGCATGCAAGCTACCTGGAAATTAATTTGAAATGTATTTAATAACTCTGCCATGTATGCATACAATGTATGTCCATGTAGATTTGTTAACAACAATACAGAAATTGTTTGCCTTTATCTTCTGGAAATTGTGTTTTTTTAAATTGATTTCCCAAACTAGACTATAACCCTGTATTTCCTGGTGCTATCCTATCCAAGTGTTCAGTTTACTGAGGCTTAAATTGGGCAAACAGGTTTAGTTGCTACATCTTGTGTATTCTTTCTTATACTTGTGAAGGAATTAGGTAAGAAAACTTCTATAGAGTTTTCTGCTACAAATGCATTAGGAATAACACTGTACCTAGAGTTGGATTGCACCAGGAGGATACATTTAGTCTATTGTTAAAGTCGGGTGGTTGCTGTGGATGATGTTCCTCGTTTTGGAAAGAAGCAGGTAGTTAAAAATGGTCTGGAAATTGTTTAATTCAGAACACATTTTTCTGCATGGAAAGGACATGGGTGTATGGTTACCAAACATCTAGCCAAAGGAGAACATGTCCCTCCTTTTTGTCCTCATGTCCTGCACCCAAATAGTATCTGATCTGAGTAGCTACAAACTGTCTCTTCCTGAACAGCTTTTTTCCAGAGCTGGTCCAACCACAGAAATAATTAACAAACAAATGACAAACAACAGTTAAAAATACAGAAAAAGAATAAAATTGGCTTATATGTTTGCAAGTGCAATGAGGATAACTATAAAATAATTATCCAATTATAAAAGCCTAAACTTTATGTCACCTTAATTTTATTCATATAATTTACTGTCTCCAAGAGTTCAAAGTGGATTATGTGGGCGTCTCTTTTCACTTTATCCTTAAAATAGTAATCCTTTGAAGTGGGTTGGTCCACAGCTACTTTCAAAAGCAAGACTGAGGTATAGAAAAAGCCAATCTTCCATTATGGAGGAAGGCAAGAGTTGGCAAAACCGCTTTTGTTCAGTAGTAAGGACAGTTAAAGGATTAAAGGCCAAAATGAATATCAAACCTCTCTAACTATCTCCTCTCTAAAGAATTCAGGTCAGTTTCCCCAGTTTTGGAGGATTTAAAAGGGAAATATATACCTGCTGTTCCTGCAACGCATGGTTT